AGAAAATATATATATTTTCTTAAGAAAAAACAGATGCCCTTGTAATAAACTGTAGGAGCTCTAGAATTTCTGTGTAACCCATTGGAGAGTGTGTTAGGAAACTTGTTTTTAAGATGTATTTGCATAACAAGGATGCCTGGTTTGTTCATAATCTGCATTTATTTCAGGTGGCTTAGAGGTGAGGAGACTCCTTGAAGCTTCCCAAGCCACTCCTTGGCGCCACTCATTGGCTACAAATAAAAGTCAGTGATGGCCCTTTTGCATGGTAGGGAGTTGTTCTTTCCCCACCCACCTCCACTGCAAAGAAATCACTTCCTTTGCTTCCACAGAATCGGGTATTTACCAGTGTTTATCTCCTGTAGTGAGGATCATGCTGTCTGGGGTATGAGCCTGCCTCCCCGCTAGGCTATAGGTGCCAGAGGGTAGGGTTTGTGCATTATTCATCTTTTTATCACCAGCCCACTGCCTGGGCATGAAGTAGGCCCTTTATCATGATTATTGAATGAGTAACGTGCGGCATGAGGCATAGCTATGGGGAGTCATCCTCTTTCCGGATTCATCACCCGTTTTCACACTGCCAGCCCTGAGGACAGAAAGGGCAGCTGGGATAGTGCCCCAGTTAGAGTCAGATGCCTCCACTAGCAGACCTAACCCCTATTGTGTCTCGACAGTTTTTTGAGAAAATCCAGGAAGCAAGTGCACAATATGGATGGGCCACATATTTGTGAGGTTTTGTCCACCACTTAATGTGGTGTCATTGGGCAAGGAGCTCAGAGAGTTGTCTTCAAGGCTGACTGCATAAGATGTGGAGCCCAGAGCACAGAGAAAATGCAGGGTCCCTTGTTAAAAAAATAAATAAAAAAGAAAGGAAGAAAAGAAAAAAAGTGTTACTAATGGCATCAACAAAAGAACATCCAGCCTAGGAAAAAGTCTTACACAATTTTTTTTTTTTGAGCCAAACTGACAATTGCTGGGAAGCAATCTCTCAATGGATTAAGAAAATGCTCTGGAGAATGGTAGTTTTGCAGCTCATTTTATACATTAGAATCAAAGAAGGATATGTAAGTGGGTTGCATGAAATCCATTGGTGGTAGATTAGGGAGGTGTGGACATCTCTGAGGACTGAATAAAAAAAGGGAAATGGAGAGACACGTCAGTCTTTTACACAGGTGGGTACATGGTAGTTAATAGTTAACATTTACAGCACATAGAGATGGTATGTGGTCAAAAAGATAGCAATGTGGGCTCTGGTACCCAGGTTGTACCTTCAAGGAGTCTAGAAAAGAAGATTACTCTGACATTTCAAAGGTTTGTTATCTTAGAGCCCAAAGACAGTAGACAATTTCAAAGTTAAAGATTGACCATTGTCAAGGAGGCTACAGGCCTAGGACATGACTACCCGCCGTGACCCACTTTTAGTTAGGAATCCTTATGTTCAGAATTTGCTGTGTTGTTACTTTGGTCTCTGGGTTTGTAAGGCTCGTCACGTGGGCATCCCCTGAGTTTGTCAGGTTTAGTATGTTGTCCCTTTTTTGCCCACATATTTTTAAAATATGGATTTTTTTTTCTGTCATGGCCTCTCTCTCTCTTGATTTGTCGTGGTGTTTATTATTTGCTACTAATTTTATTCTAAGTAAAGAAAATGTAAATTATTAGCATGAATTTTACTGTTCATCTTTATATTGTGCAATGCCAATTTAAACTGCAAATATAAGAATATTTAATTCAGATGTAAACTCACCAAAATTACACAATTTATATTCTGTAGCTTTTACATGCATATATATTTCCTTCTGAGCAGAACAGTGGGAACTCCACACAAAACACTCAACTGTTTTATTTCACTTCTTGATCCATGCATGTCCTGCCACACTCTTTACCTTCGATTTACTCATGAGAGAATGGACTGAAAGAAATAAGACTGTGGGTTGTCCTATTTTCTTCCATGTCACCATTTTCGGTGTAAATGGTTGGCTAAAACGGGGGTGCAAAATGGAGGATACATAGAGTTCCTTCCTGGCCCATGCTTCTTAGAAAGCCATTCCTTCTTCCTGTGTTTGAAGCAAGTTCTGGTTCAAATGGAGAATGAGGCCTCTCTGGGCTGTCAGTGCCTCTATTCACTCAGCTGTAAACGTAACAAACATACTCCCCGTTACTGGCTTTGAACATTGCTCAACTCCACACATTGTGGATCCTTCAGAATTCTGTGCTCACGGAGCACGGCAAATGCTATATTCAAATGCACTGGCAAAGAATGGTGGACATGCGTATTGGGCATATCTGCTCTGCTCACACTCGTGTTCCTTTGTCCCATTAGACTTCACATAAACACACAAGTTCAAAGATAAGATTATTAAGAATTTTAAGGTGACAACAGGAGATTATTAAAGCAAGCATGGGGCCCTCTGATTGAGGGTCCCAATGTGACTGCACAGATCATACTGGTACACCCATGAAGTTGACTCAGGTTGTCTAGCATTGTTTCAACAGATGTCCTTAAAATTTTTAGTGTTTACCACGTGAGAGACTGGCTGAGAGTAGCGTGCCCATGCTTTCTTTCATTCATAAATATGCCTTAGGTATCTGCCATGTGCCAATTACTGTATGAGGCATTGAGATGACAGCAGGTGGACAAGACAAGACATGGCCTCAGCGTCAGTAGTACCTGTGACCAGTGAGGAAAACTTTTTAAATTACGCAACACAGATTTAAATCTTGATTGTGATAGAGGCACAAACAAAACTACAGATAGGGTAGGAAGGCTTACAGTGGGTATTCAGGGAAGGCATGCCTGAGGAAGTGGTATTGTAGGCGAAGAATAAGGAGGGGTTCTAAGGTGAAGAGAAGTGAAATAGTCTTCCCGGCTGAGGGAACAGCATATGCAGGGGAGGAGCTTTGCTCAGACAAGGAAAGAAAGGGGGCCTGCACAACTGGAGCACAGGGGACAGGAGGGAGACCAGCCCTGTGGCCTGGGGGCTTGATTTGTATAACCCTCTTTCTCTACCTTCTTCCTTCTGCACCCTATTCCCATGCTGAACAAGAATACAGAAGGTGGAAAGGGCCCTTTCTCTGTTCTCTGGAATACTTGTGTGGAATGCGCAGGAGTCCTTGGGCCCAGACCGTGTACTCGTTACCCACTGAATTAATCATTTCCCTTCATTTCTGTACACCATCTCCAGTTTACTTCCTGTTCTTCAAATGTGACCTCTCTTTTCTCTAACCTTTCATCTCCCTGCTCTTTTTTAGGACACTTACCATGTTCTGTTCTGTACCGTCTTTAGTTATATGCATGTCTCATCTGTGAGCCCTTTAAGGGCAGATTCCTTATCTGTTTTACCTATGAAATGGCCTTAGGAAAAGTGTTATCTAAGAATTTATTCAGTTCAATTAAAAAGCTTATTTACTTTTCAATAGGTAAAATATTCATAAAATTAAACATTGAAAAGGTACAAAAGAGTATTTAATTCCCCCCATCTCTCCCCAGTTTCCCTCTCTGGAGACAACTAGTTTTTAAATGTATTTTTGCAGGAATACTCCATGTTTATATAATATGGCTATTATACATATTTATTACTTTTTTAAAAATATATTTTATTGATTTTTTACAGAGAAGAAGGGAGAGGGATAGAGAGTTAGAAACATCGATGATAAAGCTCGATCAGCTGCCTCCTGCACGCCCCCCACTGGGAATGTGCCCGCAACCCAGGTACATGCCCTTGACTGGAATCGAACCTGGGACCCTTGAGTCCATAGGCTGACGCTCTATCCACTTAGCCAAACTGGTTCGGCTTATTACTTTTTTAAAATTGATTTTAAGAGAGAGAGAAACACCGGTGTGAGAGCATAACTTTGATTGGCTGCCTCCTGCATGCCCCTACTGGAGATCGGGCCTGCAACGCAGGACATGTGCCCTGACAGGGAATCGAACCAGCAATCCTTTAGTGCACAGAATGTTGCCCAGCCAACTGAGCCACACCAGCCAGGGTTGATCATACTCTTTTTTCAGAAATTATATATTGGCACAGACTTCGATGTACAGTCAACTCTTGAAGTTCCAGTTGTTTGAGAAAAAAATGTTAAGTTCATTTGAACCAATTATTGTCATAGATGTTTGCATATAGTGAGGTGAACCCAACCTGATGCATGTAGGTAGCATTATTAATAAATAGAAAGAACACAGCATCGCATAGTGATTAAGATTATAGGCCCTATTTCTTCTAAGCAAAATACATACCTGCAACCCAAGTATGTGCCCCAACTGGGAATCGAACCGTGACCTCCTGGTCCATAGGTCAACCCTTAACCACTGAGCCACTCTGGCCAGGCAAGAGAAGGCAATTTGGTCATTCTTGGAAATGTTGACACAGGAGACACAGACATGACTCTCTCTCGTACAGGTGCTGAGGGACGTTCTCAAGGATCTCTACCACCTGCTGAAGCATGTCGTGCGTTCGGAGCCTGATGACGTGGCCAGGCTCCATGCCCAGCTGGCTTTGGAAGAGCTGGATGAAATAATGAGAAACTTCCTGTTTCCACCACAGAAGCTGGAGAAAAAGATTGTGGTCCTGCCGTAGACCTGGCTGGCTCAAAGGCCCTCAAGGAGGCAGAGAACCAAGTAGCCAGAGCAGTGCCCACGCCTTTAGCAGGTGGCCCACTGCCTCTTCGATGCTGGCAATATGGCTGACCCTGGAGGTGGCTTTGTGTCTCTCTGGTCAAGAGGCATTTCAGAATGCAGTTGGAGGTAGGGAGGGGAAGGAAGTTGTTATGGAAACATGCAGAATGGAATAAAATTACCCTGGCTGGAAAGAGAAACAAGTCTGACTCTGGTCCTCTGCAATCGAGATGGAAAGCTATGCTGTCGAGGATTTGATCTCCAAAACAGAGAATCAGGCTGGTTGCATCTTCCAGAGAAGGAGGGTAAACCCTGTGTCTGTCCTCCCAGGACATTTTCTTTCACTCCCTCTGCTAGTTTGCATAGAGTTGCCCTGAATTTAGGAGAAGGGAATCACAAACATCTCAGATGAGGGAATTATATCCTGCATTCCGTCCTCTGCTCCTTTAGAAAGGCAAATGCTTAGTCGGTGGGTAAGTACGAAATGCGTCCTGGAAAGTGCACTGCATATTGATGACCTGATGCCAGGTGTATTGAAATCATTTCAGATGTAGCACTGTGCAGTCCTTTTTATTTAGCTATTTGGCCACTGAATTTTGGTTGCAGCTAAGAGGAGACAAAAAGGAAAAACTGGTTGTTTCCAATAAGCCCTCCCTGTGGTCAATACCTGACAAGGGCTAACCTGGAGCTCCTTGATCAGTCCTTGGATTTGCAGGGCTGGGTACAGAATTTTATCATAGGATTGTATCCCTGCTCTCTGGGGTGAGGCCAGGGGAATCAAAACACAATTTTCCAAAATGCTCAGGTGACTGAAGGATCTATATACAGGCATGCCTGTGTGCCAGTTAACAACAGGATATTTCTCTCTGGCCAGACTACAGACGGTTCTTAGCTTAGAACCTTTGTGGTGGGCATTCTTTTTAAGAGGTCAACTTATAAACAGTTTGGGATCACAAATTACCTTAGTGAGCAAAGAATTAGAACAAAGGCAATAAGATGTTTTGAAGGGATATTTCTTTTTTAAATTGCTACAAATAAAAGTCAGTGATGGCCCTTTTGCATGGTAGGGAGTTGTTCTTTCCCCACCCACCTCCACTGCAAAGAAATCACTTCCTTTGCTTCCACAGAATCGGGTATTTACCAGTGTTTATCTCCTGTAGTGAGGATCATGCTGTCTGGGGTATGAGCCTGCCTCCCCGCTAGGCTATAGGTGCCAGAGGGTAGGGTTTGTGCATTATTCATCTTTTTATCACCAGCCCACTGCCTGGGCATGAAGTAGGCCCTTTATCATGATTATTGAATGAGTAACGTGCGGCATGAGGCATAGCTATGGGGAGTCATCCTCTTTCCGGATTCATCACCCGTTTTCACACTGCCAGCCCTGAGGACAGAAAGGGCAGCTGGGATAGTGCCCCAGTTAGAGTCAGATGCCTCCACTAGCAGACCTAACCCCTATTGTGTCTCGACAGTTTTTTGAGAAAATCCAGGAAGCAAGTGCACAATATGGATGGGCAGCATATTTGTGAGGTTTTGTCCACCACTTAATGTGGTGTCATTGGGCAAGGAGCTCAGAGAGTTGTCTTCAAGGCTGACTGCATAAGATGTGGAGCCCAGAGCACAGAGAAAATGCAGGGTCCCTTGTTAAAAAAATAAATAAAAAAGAAAGGAAGAAAAGAAAAAAAAGTGTTACTAATGGCATCAACAAAAGAACTCCAGCCCTAGGAAAAAGTCTTACACAATTTTTTTTTTTTGAGCCAAACTGACAATTGCTGGGAAGCAATCTCTCAATGGATTAAGAAAATGCTCTGAGAATGGTAAGTTTTGCAGCTCATTTTATACATTAGAATCAAAGAAGGATATGTAAGTGGGTTGCATGAAATCCATTGGTGGTAGATTAGGGAGGTGTGGACATCTCTGAGGACTGAATAAAAAAAGGGAAATGGAGAGACACGTCAGTCTTTTACACAGGTGGGTACATGGTAGTTAATAGTTAACATTTACAGCACATAGAGATGGTATGTGGTACAA